TAAAAACTGTTCGGAAATTACTATCGCAACGCAAAATAATGAGAAAACTACACAGTGTTGAAGAAAAAGGCCTTTTAATGCAATATCATTTGATAAACAGAAAAAAACTGCCGAAGCGACAAAAAAATAAAGTTTCAAATATTGCATACTAAATTAGATGGAGCGTTGGAGCTGTTTTTAAAATAATTATTTCTCAAAAGTTGAACGCTTTTGAAAGCAGTCACAGTGATGAATCAGACATCGGAGGGATACACATCACGTTTCTGGAAAAACATATTTCGGCCAAAGTATATTGACCTTATACAAAGCGTTCAAAGTTACCGTGTTTACCGTTATCCTGCTACTTCGGCGAAACACTTCTCTTTTGCCAATACGGCCGTGGATAACGTGGTAAACGTCACTTTAAACCTTGCTAGGCATTCGAAGACCTTCCTGAGTAGAAGGACGTAGAATTAAAAGAGAAAGGAAGATGAAAAATACGCAGAAAAAGGAAATAACTCGAAATTACCATCTGCTAACGAAAGTTGAATCTGNTCAGACATTGGAGGGATATACATCGCGTTTCTGGAAAAACATTTTTCGGCCAAAGTATATTGACCTTGTACAAAGCGTTCAAAGTTACCTTGTTTACCGTTATCTTACTACTTCGGCGAAACGCTTCTCTTTTGCCAATACGGCCGTGGTAGCGTGGTAAACGCTACTTTAAACCTTGCTAGGCATTCAATCACCATGCTAAGTAGAAGGACGTAGCATTAAAAGAGAAAGGAAGATGAAAAATACGCAGAAAAAGAAAATAACTCGAAATTACCATCTGCTAACGAAAGTTGAATCTGGAAAATGTCGTCGCGTGACAGCGGCCATTGACGTCATTTGTCACGTCATGTCGCAAGAGCGTGGGAAAACGAGTCTGCAATGTCCTTCGGGCGGTTAGCGGCTAGGGATCGTAGTCATTTGTAATGCTCCTTTAATGCTACGTAACAAATTAAAATATCAAATTAAACGGAACCAGTTTTAGACAGTAATAGTATTTATTTTTATTAAAACTCGCGTTTTAAAGGTGAAAATCGATCAAAAGAACTTGATCGAGCAAATGTCGAGGTATTTTCGGCCTCAATAGACCGCTGGCCAGAAGCGTCCATTCGTGACTCCATAGCTCAGATCACGCTGCGGCCAAAACGGTGTGGCGGTTGGGGAAGTTTTTCTTTTTGAGTCACCATCATTTGTGAAAAATAACATAACATTGTTCCACTGAACGTTTCCCGGCTGGGAAAAAGTTGTTTTCCTATTTGTGCATTCGTTTGGATTCCGTCGCTGTTTAGACAAATAGAGACCTTAAGCAAACACTTGAGGCGGTTAGGTGGAGGCGGCGATGGCCGCGCGGGAGTTGGGTTGAGACCGCCTCCTCTTGGCNACACTTCTCTTTTGCCAATACGGCCGTGGATAGCGTGGTAAACGCCACTTTAAACCTTGCTAGGCATTCAAAGACCATCCTAAGTAGAAGGATGTAGAACTGAAAGAGAAAGGAAGATGAAAACTACGCAGAAAGAGAAAATGACTCGAAATTACCATCTGCTAACGAAAGTTAAATCGAAAATGTCGTCGCGTGACAGCGGCCATTGACGTCATTTGTCTAAACAGCGGCGGAATCCGAACGAATGCACAAATAGGAAAACAATTTTTCCCGGCCAGAAAACGTTTAGTGGAACAATCTTATGTTATTTTTCACAAATGATGGTCACTCAAAAAGAAAAACTTCCCCAACCCGCCACACCGTTTTGGCCACAGCGTAGTCTGAGTTATGGGGTCACGATCGGTCACGACTGGATCCCTAGCCGCTGACCGCCCGAAGGACATTGCAGACTCGTTTTCCCACGCTCTTGCGACTTGACGTGACAAATGACGTCAAGGACCGCTGTCACACGACGACATTTTCCAGATTCAACTTTCGTTAGCAGATGGTAATTTCGAGTCATTTTCTTTTTCTGCGTATTTTTCATCTTCCTTTCTCTTTCAATTCTACATCCTTCTACTCAGGATGGTCTTTGAATGCCTAGCAAGGTTTAAAGTGGC